TTAAGCTTTCATATCCGAATTCAAATTTCGAACTAATCTAATCTTATCTTAACCCCGCGTTAAACAACCTGCCCCAAGCGCTAAATAGTATAATTATTCATAACGAGCTCCCTAAATTTGAAGAAGTAGCAATGACCCTGCTAATAAGAAGATCATACTAGGCGTGGAATTAGAGTCCGTAAACTGTAGTTCATTGATGCCGTTTAAATTTTTGCTCAGAACATATAGCTTTTTCTTGAGGTTTTGGTTTCTTAAAACTACTGCTACCTGCTTGACCAATTCGCTTATTGAAGTCGGCCTCAGTTGCCGACTGCCTGTGCGCAGGACCCATGAAGATAGCAGAACTGGGGTCACCAGGCGTCACAGCCCTGCTTGACACCAAAACCTGAGAAATCTTACTACTCTTCTCCTACCATTTCATGTATTAAGAAACCTTGAAGCCACACACACACATGTACACACACACACACAAAAAACAAAGAACCAGACAGACACTTCTTCAAGATATCTGATAACATACTGTTTATCTCAATAATCATCCTCATATGCTTTCTTTTTGTCTACCCTTTTGCAGTAGTGCTAACCTTGCAATGAAACGTTAATTCTGTGCGAACATTCCTTGCCGCCCAAAGGCAAATTGACATGAGGAGGGAACAAAACGACGAAGTGTAAGGAGACTTAAAGAGTTGTATCGGAGCCATTTAGTAAAATGGAACCGGCTACATTTATGGCAGATCTTAGGAAACGTAATATCTTTTAATATTTTCTGCTTTATTATTTGTCTTTTCTGAAACTCTTTAACGTCTACTGGCTGGGACAGATCGATGGAGTAGAGAGCAAACATTATTACTAACTGGTTTTAGTCTTTTTTTTTTTCCAAATGTGAATGTCTTTAATCAAAGGGAGTATCTGATGCCCGTACGGCTAGATATCTGTAGCATAGGCAGTTTTCTTTGTTTTTGTTTTGTTTGTTGTTTTATTCTATCGTGTAATGTTGCTTATGTTTTCTTTCTATTTTCGTTTCATCTTCCTTTGTGTTGTTTTTAGGTGTAAATGATGCGCTTTTCTCTCAATTAGCCTATGACTTTTTTTTTTCTAAGCTAACACTCTTAGTTAAAAATTGGAATATTAAACTGTAATGTACAGTCTTTACACACAAACGGATCATCTACGTGAAGATCACATCTGAATCTCCCGTTTTAAATCTAGAACATGTACTAATAGTATATATATATATCTAAAACAATTGATATATAGATAGTACAAGACCACCTGCCGAATGCGCATTGCTTCGCTGACGACACGAAACTTTACTTGTATTTCGATCCTTACAGTCTTACGGATCAAGCGATGGCATTGGAAGCCATGGAGCGATGCATTAGGGATTAACGTAAATGGATGTAACTGGACAAACTAAAGATCAGCGGTAATAAGACTGAATTTCTTGTTATCGGATCGGACAACAGTTGCTGAAAATTCATCACTGTTCTGTCCGTGTTGGTACTATTGATATTAAGCCTGTTAAAGTAGCGCGTAACCTCAGCGTCTGATTCGTACGCTAGAAAGCAGAAAGTACACTACAATTCCAATACAACGCACCATTGAAAACGTTCTTAAAGACCTTCCGCGCTGCTGTATCTGTATGACAATTCATAAGTGGCAAAGACAATGTGTATGCAGATTTTTTTGTCCAGGAAACCCATGAACACTCAGCCATCTGCTGAGGAACAATTCACTGTAAATGTCATGTTTCTCGAAGGAGACCAGTTTTTAAATGCTTCAGTAGTTGCAATGGAAACTAAACAGCACTCAGTTCTTAGCAAGATGTTGCAGTATACCTAGAAGGGTTGGCCAGATAACCCAGTACTTCAACTTTACTAAAGCAGAAGGCTTGACCTCTCCCATGAAGAGGGTTTCCTCCTATGAACTTCATCCGTCATTGTTCCAGGGTAATTACAGGGCATTTTACTAGCCGACGTACATACAGAAAACCTTGGAATGGCAAAATAAAGCAGTTAACGCGAGGATACTTTTGGTGGCCTGGAATTAATAAGCAAACTTTATAAACACTGTAATTCTTGTCAAGAGTCTGCTAGTCCCAGCCTCAGTCTCTCCCGCCTCAATGGTAGTGGCCAGGGGGACCCTGGGATCGTTTTCACGTAGACTTTGCAGGACCTGACCGAGGCAAAATGTTATTAGTTGTGATAGATGCTTATTTGAAATTTTTGAGAGTGGTGTCTATGTCACAACACAATTGCTGCTTTAAGACATAATTTTAGTTATTTTGGTTTACCCAACATCTTTTAGCTGATAACGAGAGACATTTAACAAGCGATGAATTCCGGCAATTTCTTAAAGAGAATGACATTTTCTATTCTCTCACTGGTCCTACGCATCCTACGACCAATGGGTTAGCGGAACAGTATGTGGGAGAATTCAAGGATAAATTAGGCGGGAATAAGCGGGGCAAGACTTTGCAAAAAAATTGGACAGGTTTTGGTTGATGCAAATGGACCACACACACAGCTTTAGAGAAGTCACCCTCCGAATTACTTATGAACAGAGAGGCTACTCATAAATAACATTTTTCCCTCTCAGGTTGGTTGCTTAGTGCATAAATTCGCAGACAGCCAGGAGACCTTTTACCTCTTTAAAACTAATCTTCCGTTCAAATCTGAGTGTTTTATCTGACCACAACAACTTGTTCTAGTTAGCTTAAAGGAAGATGGAAAGATGAAAAGATTGAAAGCTAATGGCCTTTAAAAGGTTTAATGACAGGGATACACCGACACTGAAAGAGAAACAAAGTCAAAGTCAGAGTTGACAAAAAAAAGACAGAGAACCCATTCATCGAAAAAGGAATAAAAATCAAATATATCAAAGAAGGAAAAGCTGTCCTTCATTAAGGAACTCTGATGATTTCCCTTTTTTATCCTGAATAGTCGGTGGTTGAATGCAAAATCTAGGAAACGTTACGCTTAATATTTCATTTTTTTTTTAATTAAAAGCTCCAAAAAAGAAGCCTCAACTAATGACTAGTTTGTTTGAATTTTAAAGTTGTTGTGTTTAGTTTCAGTTTTTCACCTCTTGGTTTCAAAAATCCCTTAATGTAGGACTAGAATTATTTTGGGCAAATCGCCGTGAAAGTGGTCTCAAAAATGTTAATTAGAATCGTCAAAGATAAAACTGACCAACGGTGCAAGAACAGTTAACTCACATGCCGAAAGCAGACTGACATCCTTTGAACGCAGTATTCATGTGTTTTAAAAAAATGTTGATTTTCGGTGGGGAGCAGAGTTTGGAGAACATTTGCAAATGAAGAGGTAATTACTGAGTTGTGGGAAAAAAAGACGATTGTTTGCTCATTACAGCAAGTCCATTTGGAGGCGGCGGTGAATACTGATTTGACTTTACATGGTTGGCGCTAGTTAAAACAAATACGCTAAAACAGCCTAAAAAATCTTGAGTATCCTTAAAAAAAAAGGGCGCAGCTTCAGTTACGGTCTTCAATCGTAATCTTAGTTTTCTAATTACAAAATAACATGTCACAAAACTTTTAATAGCCTAATTGTGATCGGCTTTCGTATGAATGATAATGAAAAGCCGAAAAAAATGTTTAGCAATTTAGAAATATTCTCAAGTAAACAGTGCATCTAATGACGCAAATAACCAGCTGTGGGATAAAAAATAGTAGCCGTGTGGGATAAAAAATAGTAGCATGAAGTTTTACAGACTTCATTGTCCAGAGCCTATATTTCCGAAGGCTGGGTGGCGAGGGCCGCTTTGAAGTGGAAGATATTGAACAAAATTCAGAATGCGCTGTGCTGCGGTCGGCCTCCTAGACGTTTTATCACTGGGCTAAAGGGCACACCCAAATTCGGTTCCGCTCGGTCGTCTACGCAATATCCGGGCACTTTCACACACGGGCACTGTTAATTGTTCACCCAGTTTAACCCAGAAGGCGTTGCGTATTTTGACCATTTCAGAGCAGTATGAGTGGGTTTCGTTACTTTTATGGGGACCGTCCCTTTATGGAGGAAAAAACTAACTGAATGTACGAGCAAAATGAAGCGTTTACGCGACAACATGACGAATTTACACGCCAAATGTAGAGGGTAGAACGAGAAAAAAAACATTAATCTTTTTTGGTTATTCTCTATATTAACCTCGCTTGAATATACGCTAAATGTCCCGTCTGCGATATTTGTTGTTCGTGGCTAAAAGATGCATCCACAAATGACCAGGTGTCAATTTAATAAAACTTTTACACGTATAATTTACAAGTGTAGCTATTGTTCTCAGACTCAGTGGCTACACTTGTCAATTACATGTGTCAAGTGTGGAAGAGGTAAAATAAAAATGCCCATTAAGCTATATTGACTTCTGCTTGCGTCATTGCATTTGAAAAGTGAGAAAAACCGATGCATTCCTTTTATTAAACGTTTGCTAAATAAATTAATTTTTCTGAGCCTTTTTTTAAAATGAAAATTCAAGCCTCCGTAGCAGAAATTAAAAAAATGTAGGTTAATTTCTAACACTGTTGACTAGACGCAAATTTCCTTTCTACTATTTAACTTGCAGAACATTGATTATATTGAAAGTATATTCAATAGCCAATAGGAAATAAGCGCTATAACAGGTGGTTCAATTACTGTCACAACACTTTCTAAATTAAGAATCTTAACCTTTTCCAATGTAACAAAACATATACAAGAGCTGAAGATTATAATGCCCGATTTATTCAGTTTTACGCTTTGCTTTAGGCTCCAGAAACGGAGTTATTTGGAATGAAAATAAAAAAGGGTCATACCAATTGGCTAATGAATAATGTTATTAATCTCATGCAGTTACATATTTATGAATTGGTCAAGCAAGCAGTGCGAATAGATCGAAGCTATAAACAATCTTGTAAGCATATACAAGCTGTTTTTGAACCGAGAGATGTTTTAACAACCAGCTCAGTATTACGAGAAGACGCCCGTACAGCAACCGCTGCAAACATGAACATAACAGCGAATGGATCGAGTTCCTGGAACTGCTATAGTCTTATAAATCAGGTAGTACAAAAATATGTACCAACAGTTGCTTCTGGTTTGATATTCGTTGTTTCGCTGATTGGAAATTCTCTCATCGTAATAATTGTTTTTAAAACACCAACTTTAAAAATTCCCATTAATTTTATGATTGTAAACATTGCCATATCGGACCTACTGTTTCCAATATTCCTGTTTACTCTGAACCTGGTGGAGATGCAAGCTGACCCTTGGCTTATTGGTGATTCCCTTCATCAGACCTTATGCAAGATAGGCTTATTTCTTTTAACCGTTTCTGCGACAGTGTCGATTCAGAGCCTGATTCTAATAACAGTGGATCGATTTGGAGCTGTTGTGATGCCAATCCGCGGCTCTCCACTCATCGGTAGAAGGTTGTGTCTTTTCTTCATCGTCGTCACATGGATCGTCGCAGTAGCCGCAAACTCGCCTTACTTGTTTGCTTTCAAATTTGTTGAATACCCAGGGGAAACGGTTTTGACGTGCGTGATAGAAAAATCATCGGCGAATTACTACATCATCGCAAATTTCATAGCATTTTTTTACATTCCCTTTGTTTTGTTGATCATACTTTACGCTATCATCCTGATCAAGCTTAAGCAACACGCCCATCTGGGTGAACAAACAGCCAACGCTGCGGTAATGCGGTCAAGACGAAACCGAAACGTGCTTAAGATGACCATTGTTATCGTGTTTGTTTTTTTTCTTTGCTGGATCCCCTACATCACTAAGCAGACAATATTTCATTTTGTACCGAACAGTTCCATTTGGTCTTCTCGCAATTTTTTCCTATACGATTTCTTAACCTCCTTCATGGCCGCCGCAAACTGTGCCGTCAACCCGATTATCTGCCTCATTTTTAGCAGTAATTATCGCCAAGGTCTTAAAAGACTTGTTACTTTTTGTGCTTAATTTCCGTGAAGTGCGTCTAATCTGGGTAAAAATAGTGAATTCGTATAACCCGTTTCTTATATGCCAATGACATCAGTAAATGCTAATTAGAAGAGAATTGACAAGGCACGGAAAACTGAAATATCACATATAATTAATTGAAAAGCAAGCCTTAAAATGACAATTCTTTTCTCCAACTTTTTGCATACCAGCCTGGAAGTTAAGAAAAAACATGAATTAATTCGTGAAAGCTGCTCTGACAAAACCACACGTATTGAACACGCTGCAAAATGCACGTAGTACACGTATTTCATGGACCTTCATGGTCTTTTCCCATTACAGAATATTCTTGGTTCAGATATCAAAGTATTACGGGAGATACTCTGTTACCATGAGCAAGTTTCAGCCCTAGAACAATACCCTGTACCAACCTCTGGAAGAGCTACTGATTAAGTTATCTGGTGGGAAGAAATTCACTAAAATTGACCTTTCACAAGCATATCATTAATTAGTACATACACACTCGGTGATCTTGGTGATTTAAGCAATATGATTGGTTCGCTATCTCGGACTATTCAACAATATTCACCTCCTAGCGAGTGGATAATGTGTGAGCTCGGTGTTTTCCCTTTTTTTTAGAGAACGATCTTTTAAAAGTCGACAAAATCCTAGGGCTGACCTTTTTTAAGGCAAGAAAAGACTTGAAAGGATTCAATACGGCGTTTTTCAATTTACTGTAGCTGAGTTTTGTGCTCGATGGATTGTTTACAACTCCCGTGTATTCGCGTAGAAGAAGCCGTTTCGTAAACTCAGCGTTTTCTAACAAGAAAATTTTGGCTCAAAAATCCTAGTTCATTTATGAAAAACAAATTTAAAAGGACATGTTTGCAGAAATTCTACGTTTTAAGTAAACAGGACAAAGAATGATACAGAAAGACGACGTCTTACCTCGCGCAACCGAGCCGCCATTTTTGTCAGCACTTTATACCAAGAACGACACAACTAGCCCTTTTGGCTATAAACATCGCGAGTCAACATTTATCTTCTCAGGTAAGGAAACAGTTCAAACTTTTAGGGGTTCCATTTAAGCCATTACGCTGTTGTTTGCGAAATGATAAACTTGTGAATTGCCATGTTTGAAAACTCTGCAAAGATCTATTTTTAAACTTACGCGTGATTTGATCTGTCAATCAAATTGTACTTTTTAATGGTTTCCTCTCTGATTTTGTTGAGATCACTTCGTGTGGTTCCATTTAAGCCATTACGCTGTTGTTTGCGAAATGATAAACTTGTGAATTGCCATGTTTGAAAATTCTGCAAAGATCTATTTTTAAACTTACGCGTGATTTGATCTGTCAATCAAATTGTACCTTTTAATGGTTTCCTCTCTGATTTTGTTGAGATCACTTCGTGTGTGTATACTAAAACAATTATTCTTTTCAATCTCGGTGAATAGTTGCTTTGGGAATATTTACCTCGCCGCTTTCGCGGCTCGGTAAATATTTAGCCACTATTCACCTTGATTTCAAAGAATAATTTTTAACTGGAGCTTTCGCCAGAAAGCAGAAAGTACACCACAATACCAATACAACGCACCATTGAAAACGTCTTTAAAGATCTTCCGCGCTGCTGTGTCCGCATAGATAACATTCTAGTTTCAGGAGAAACTGATGAAATTCTTCTGAACAGCCTTTACTGTGTATTACAGCGATTACAAGAATGTGGGCTTAAACTAAATCCTGACAAGTTTTCTTTCATGCTTGGTGAAGTTCAGTAACTTGGTTACTAACATTGCTGCTGCTGAAATTTCACTTTCTGCTGAGAATATTAAGGTGCAGGCCATTAAGGATGTGGCACCCCTTACTGAATTACAGTAATTCCTTGGATCAGCAAACATTTCTTCATAAATATGTGCCAGATTTTGTAAAAATTGCCTCACTGTGGTACAGTTAACTTTGTAAGGAGGTACCATGAAAGTGGTCAAAAACTGAAGAAGACGCTTTTGATAGTATTACGGGCTGCTCTCTGTTCAGATTCTATTCTACGTCACTAGGACGCCACAGCTGAGCTTGTTCTGCAGTGTGATAGTTGTTTATTGGGTGTAGGAGCCTAAATTTGTTATTGAAACCTGGACCTGATGGAACATTACAACCAGTTGCTTATGCATCCAGGATACTGAACAATATATGCAAAAAACAATTACTCTCATTTTGAGGGAGAGTCCTTAACCATGGATTTTGGTCTCACCAAATTTCGTCAGTACCTGTTAGGAGGGCATTTTAAGCTGCTTATAGACCATAAGCCATTGACCTCACCTCATTTGGAGAACAAAAGCCTGTGTGAGTGAGAACCAAAAGATGGGCATTACTCTTAGCTGCTTATGGCTACACTGTTGATTTTATAAGTGGCAAAGACAATGTGCGTGTATGCAGATTTTTTTGTCCAGGTAACCCATGAACACTCAGCCATCTGCTGAGGAACAACTCACTGTAAATATCATGTTTATTGAAGTAGACCAGTCAGTGTTTGCCATGGAAACTAAACAGAAGCCAGATCTTTGCAAGGTGTTGCAGTATACCTAGGAGTGTTGGCCAGATAACACCAGCCCAGTACTTTAACTTTACTACAGCAGAAGGCCATGAGCTCACTCACGAAGAGGGTGTCCTCCCATGGAATTCACGCGCCATTGTCCCAGAGTAATTAAGGTGATTTTACTAGCCGACCTACATACAGAATACCTTGGAATGGTTAAAATGAAGCAGTTAACGCGAGGATATTTTGGGTGGCCTGGAGTTAATAAACAAACTTTATAAACACTGTAATTCTTGTCAAGAGTGCTAGTCCAAGCCTCAGTCTCTCCCGCCTCAATGGTAGTGGCCAGGGAGACCCTGGGATCGTTTTCACGTAGACTTTGTAAGACCTTACCAAGGCAAAATGTTATTAGTTGTGATAGATGCTTATTCGAAATTTTTGAAAGTAGTGTCTTTGTCGCAACACATTTGCTACTTTAAGACATATTTTTAGTTATTTTGGTTTACCCAACATCTTGTAACTGACAACGGGAGCCACTTAACAAGCGAGGAATTCCGGCAATTTCTTAAAGAGAATGACAGTTCCACACTCTCACTGCTGCTGAGCATCCTGCGACCAATGGGTTAGCGGAACGCTTTGTGAGAGAATTCAAGGATAAATTATGCGGAAATACGCCAGGGAAGACTTTGCCAAAAAAAAAAATTGGACAGGTTTTTGTTGATGCAAATGAGCCACACCCGTCTCTTTAAAGAAGTCACCCTCCGAATTACTTATGAACAGAGAGCCTACTCACAAGTAACATTTTTCCCTCTTAGGTTGGTTGTTTAGTGGATAAATTCGCAGACTGGGAGACCTTTCACCTGTTTAAAACCTAGTCTTCGTTCAAATATGACTGTTTTATCCGACCACGACAGCTTGTTCTAGTCAGCTAATAAGAGGATGGAAAGATGAAAAGATTGAAAGCTAATGCCCTTTAATAATTAGTGACAGGGACACACCGACACTTAAAGAGAAACAAGGTCAGAGTTGACAAAAAAAGACAGAGAACCCATTCACCGAAAAAGGGCTCTTGTAATTAAATGTTATTTAAGAAAGAAAAGCCGCACTCTATTAAGGAACTCTGATGCCAAAGCTAGATTTTCCTTTTGCTTCCTAATTAGCCAGTAGTTGAATGCGAAATATAAAAAACGTTACGGTAAACATTTCTTTTGTTGGTTTTTTTTTTCTTTTTACTTTAATGCCCCCAAAAAGAAGCCACAAGTAATGACTTGTTTGTCTGTCTTTTAAAAATGTGCTGTGTTTAGTTTTAGTTTTTCAAATTGCCGTGAAAGTCGTCTCAAAAAATGTTATTTAGAATCGTCAAAGATAAAACTGACCAACGGTGCAAGAACAGTTAACCCACATGCCGAAAGCAGACTGACATCCTTCGAACGCAGTATATACCCATACATTCTACCTATAAAGTTACTTATACATTAGTTTTTATTTATTGTGATATGTCAACTATTTTATTTTAGTACCGGTAAAATATTAATAAAATGTAGAATGTAGTACAGGGAAAGCATCTTTTCTTATTCATGTGTTTTTAAAAAAATGTCGATTTTCGTTGGGAGCACAGTTTGGAGAATATTTGCAAATGAAGAGGTAATTACTGGGTTGTGGAAGAAAAAGACGATTGTTTGCTCGTTACAGCAAGTCCATTTGGAGGGGGCGGTGTATACTGATTTGACTTTACACGGTTTAGGTTAGTTAAAACAAATACGCTAAAACAGCGTAAAAAGTCGTGAGTATCCTTAAAAAAATAGACTGCCAGCAGTCTCTTGTTTTTCTTTGCAAAGTTACTGCACGCGAAACTAAGCACGCGAGCGGTGAAGCCGGGAGCCGCGAGAAACGAGGGCGTAAGCCCGAGAAGAAAAAATAAGAGACTGCTGACTCTTTTCTTCTTTCTTGGGACAACGAAGCTGTCAAGGTAATTTAATTAATCAATTAAACACGAGTAACTTGAAACGATTTATAAATAGAACATAAACAACTGAAAAAATTACTCTTTCTTTAAATCCGGTAAGATTGCCTTGTACTCGTTTCCCTTGAGGAAATTTACAGCAGTTTCCTTCTGTAAAATATCCTTAAAAGTCTTATTACTGAGATTCGAGCTTGGTTCGCTATTGTTTGCAGTTGGTTGTGACACGTGACTATTTTTATTGCTTGCAATCTCACCACAGACCAGTCAATGATCTGTCAACAGCTGTGCAATTGACCAATCGGTTACTCCGTTTCTGGGCTGAGGGAGAGTTTGTTTACTATAAAAGAGTCCGCAGTCCGTCTTTTCTCGTCTCGTCTCTGTAATAATAATAGACTGCGAGCAGTCTCTCTTTTTCTTCAGATTTAGTAAGGGGAGTGCACTCGCGCGCGAGCGTTGAGCGGCGAAACCGCGAGACGCGAGAAACGAGGGCGCAGCCCGAGAAGCCTCTCCCATCTCACGCCTTCTGTCACGCGCGTGGTCATTTGTGTGTCTCGGGCGTTTTGCTCGACGGACCAAGAAAAAAGAGAGACTGCTCGTAGTCTATAATAATAACGTCGTGGTTTGCAATCGCGCTGGATGAGATAAGAACTAGACGGATTTTAAGAGAAGAGGCGGACTGCAAGCAGTCTATTAAAAAAAGGCTGCAGTTTAGTTCCGGTCTTTAATCGTAATCTTAGTTTTCTAATTACGAAATAATGTCACAAAACTTTCAATAGCCTAATTATTTATGATCGGCTTTCGTATGAATGATAATAAAAAACCGAAGAAAAATGTTTATATTCTCAATTAAACAGTGCATCTAACGAAAAACAGGGGCAAAGCAAATAACCAGTTTCTTGGTAGTCAGGTGGGATAAAAAACAGTAGAATGAAGCTTTACAGACTTCGCCATCAAGAGCCTATAGTTTACGAAAACAAGAGAGTAGTTGAGTGTTGTCGGACGGGAGGCCGGGAACTACTACTGCTGTAGAGAGCAAAACCTGGCCCAGTAACTCAAATAAATGGTTAAAATCAGAAAATAAAGCGACTCGATCAAAGTAGGCTACAGAAATCGGATCCCTAGCTCTGTGTCTTAGGCAGAAAGCACCGCTATGCACTCAAACAGGGCATAACATTTTTGGCTATGTTATACGAAAAAACCGAAATTGCTAAAGAGAAAATCGAGTTTGGATGTGCTTCTCGCGAGCCTGTGACAGAATATCTAAGGTGAAAAGCACACCAACATTAGCACAAACCGGAAATTGTATAAGTTTGTTCTGTTGTTGCGCGGCCAGGTAGACCATATTAATGAGGGACGAATACTTTAGTACTTTTTTCCTGTAGTACCAAGTAGCGTGACATAAGCACTCGCAAAAAAAATTCACCAAGTTTGCCTATAAATTTAACCAAATGCACCGTTTCATGCACAGCTATGAAGCCCTGCTTTCCACACATTTTAACATAGTTTTACCCACAGTATCATGACCCCGCATAAGAAATAAAACCACTCATCTGTACAATTTTTTCCATGTTTAACGCCATGTCGAATCTGCTGTTTCCAATATTTCTGTTTCCTCTGAATCTGGTAGAGCTGCAAGCTGACACTTGGCATATTCGTGACCCACTTTATCAGAACTTGGGCAAGATAGGCTTTTTTCTTTCAACCATTTCCGCTGCAATGTCTATTCAGAGCTTGATTCTGATAACAGTGGATCGATTTGGAGCTGTTGTAGTCCCAATCCGTTCCCCGCTTATCAGTAAAAAGCATTATCCATTCTTCATCATCGCCTCATGCATGGATCGTCGCAGTAGCCGCATACTCGCATATTTGTATTCTTTCAAACTTATTGAACACCCTGGACGGATGGCAGGGTGCACGAGACAAATATCACCTACGAACATTTACCAACACCTAGCAGTTACTACTGCATTCTTTTACATTTCCTTAGTTTTGTTGATCACACTTTACGCTATCATCCTGATCAAGCTTAAGAAACACACCCATCCGGGTGAACATTCAGCCAACGCGGAGGAACAGCGGTCAAGAAGAAACTGAGACGTGCTTAAGATGGCCTTTGCTACCGTTTTTGTGTTTCTTCTTTGCCGAATCCCTCCGTTTCTAACTGGACAATATTACATTTTGAACCGAACAGTTCCATTTGGTTCTCTTGCAATTCTTTACCATACGATAACTTTAACTACTTCATGGTCGCCGCAAACTGCGCCATCAAATGGATTGTGCCTCATTTTTAGCAGTAATTATCGCCAACATCTAGCTTAAGAGACTTTTTAGTTGCTGTGCTGCAGTGCAAGGGTAACTTTTGAAAACTGGTAGCGATCGGAAGCGATTCGTGAAAGATGATCAAAAATTGAGAACAATACAAGTGGGCTTAGTTTTCGAAGGTCGGAGAGCGCGAACCTGAGGTTAAGAAGATTTTAATCCAACTTTTTCTTTTGTTCCAATTCTGTGTTTTATGAAGGTGACAATGGTTAATTGTCGTTAATTCGAATATTATACGGCCGTTATAATCGACCACTTTGGTCCACATCTTATAACGATGGCAATTTTGGGGCGCATGTGAAAATTCGCGACGTCACTGTAGGTCACTAGAGACAAGCAATCATGACCATATTTGGCATCGACCTTCGCAAACTATCTGGCTTTGATGTTCCGGAGGCTGGGTGGTAAGGGCCGTGTGGAAGTGGGAGAAATTGAACAAAATTCAGAACGCGTTGTGCTGCGGTCGGCTGCCTAGTCGTTTTATCACTAAGCTGAAGGGCACGCCCAGTTATAAATTCGGTTCCGTTCGGTCGTCTAACCGATATTCGGGTACTTTCACATACGAGCACTGTTAATTGTTCACCCAGTTTAACCCAGAAGGCATTGCGTGTTTCGACCATTTCAGCGCAGTATGAATGGCTTTTGTTACTTTTATGGGGATCGTCCCTTTATAGAGGAAAAAACTAACTGAATACACCGTATTCACAAATGGCGGACACGCGGGAAAAAACTGGTGCCTAGTCATGAAAGCGAGGCGTTGGAGGATAAACAACAATTGCAAATGAAGACTTTCAGTGAACTTGCAGAGTGTTTAGCACGGATTCCAGCTAAAATAACTTTGTACGGACTTCTTTTTAAATACAGTTACGTGGAATGTCTTCTGCTTCTAATGTTTAGTAGTGATTTGCTGTTTGCAATCAAAAGGGACGCGTATATCTTCAAGGAAACAGGATGATTTTGTAGGTTTCCGAAGCATCAGAAGTTCGACAAGTGGGCGATGGCTGGATAAAAGCGGCAAACATGTTGGCCCAAACTTCACACTGAAACCGAATACGAAAGCCAGATCACTACAATTCTGTAAAACAGAAATAAAAACAGATATTGGTGGCGAGAAAAAGAGAAATAAGGGACGGATATATGGCCTACTTGTCAACGGAAGAGACCTCCGCTATTACACAAAACAGGTCAAGTCGAGAGCGGGTGAAAGATTTATTCACGAGGCTCATTCATTCATGTCAGTGTCATTTTATACATATCTATGTATCTATGTATGTCTGTATTTACAACTTCCTTTGGATCATATTAATTCCGTCGCTTTGGAGTGAATTGTTAGAGGTACGTTTTCAGAGCTTAGCAAAAATCGCATGATTTCTTTGTCATTGCGAACTACTTAAAACTAATTTTATCAAAACTAGAAGCTGTAGTGTGTGAATCTTATGGCTTGCTATATGCCTGGTCTCCTTTAGGGCGTTATCTCAGAGAGCTCTTGGTAAAAAAGTGGTATAAACCTTACATTTTACTAGGTTAAACTTTTAAGGCAATGTTTGTGTCAGGACTGAACACGGCAAGCTTCTGTTTCGAATAATTAAATTCGAGTCTGGATCCGTCAGACCATCATTTTATTTATTTATGTATTCTTCAATTCTAAAATATTATGGAACATAAAGTTAAAACTCTTAACAGCCAAAGATAAGAAATACGAAATTATTCGCTGAAATGATATGTGGCCGGCTTACCGAGTCTACCGAGTAAGTAGTTGAAATTTTGAGCGTACTCCACTCGATCGCTCCTGCATTTATACTAAAAAAATAGTTCTAATTGATGTCCTTCATCGATAAAGACCAGAGAATAACGTCCTGGCAAACAAAAACCAAAAATAACTTCATCGAAACCTCAGTTACCTCTTCTTTCCTGTCTTCCTTTTTTCCATCTCGACTTGAACTGTTTTGTTCAACGGCAGACGTCTCTTGGGTTAACAAGTAGGCCATATATCTGTCGCTTATTTCTTTTTTTCCTGCCACCAAGATTTTTTTATATTTCTGTTTCACCGAATTGCAGCGAGCTGGCTTTCGTACTTGGTTTCAATGTGAAGTTTGGGCAAAAATGTTTGCCGCTTTTCTCCAGCCATTGTCCACTTGTCGAACTTCTGATGCTTCGGAAACCTATAAAATCATCCTGTTTCCTTGAAGATATACGCGTCCCTTTTGATTGCAAACAGCAAATCACTACTAAACATTAGAAGCAGAAGACATCCCACGTAACTGTATTTAAAAAGAAGTCCGTACAAAGTTATTTTAGCTGGAATACGTGCTAAACACTCTGCAAGTTCTCAGACTCGATGGCCACACTTGTCAATTACACGTGTCAAGTGTAGAAGAGGTTAAATAAAAATGCATATTAAGCTATATTGACTTCTGCTTGCGTCATTGCATTTGAGAAGAGAGAAAAATCGATAAATCCCTTTTATTAAACGTTTGCTAAATAAATTAATTTTTCTGAGCCTTTAATTAAAATGAAAATTTAAGCCTCCATAACAGACATTTAAACACAGTAGGTTCATTTTTAAAAATGTTGACTAGATGCAAATTTCCTTTCTACGATTTAAATTGCACAACAATGATACTGAAAGTATATTAAATAGCCACTAGGAAACAAGCCCTATGACAGGTAGTTCGTTTGATGTCACAACACTTTCTAAATTTAGAATTTTAACCAGTTTTGCAATGTAAGAAACATATACAAGGGCTGAAGGTTGCAATGCCCGATTTCTTCAGTTTTGCACTCTACTGAGGAGAAGGGAATTTAGGCTCCAGAAACCGAGAAACGGAGTTATCTGGAATGAAAATAAAAAACAAATGTTATACTAATTGGCTAATGAATAATATTATTAATCTCAGTTACATATTTATGAATTGGTCCTATATTGAATAGATCGAAGCTATAAACAATCTTTTAACTGGACAATATTACATTTTGAACCGAACAGTTCCATTTGGTTCTCTTGCAATTCTTTACCATACGATAACTTTAACTACTTCATGGTCGCCGCAAACTGCGCCATCAAATGGATTGTGCCTCATTTTTAGCAGTAATTATCGCCAACATCTAGCTTAAGAGACTTTTTAGTTGCTGTGCTGCAGTGCAAGGGTAACTTTTGAAAACTGGTAGCGATCGGAAGCGATTCGTGAAAGATGATCAAAAATTGAGAACAATACAAGTGGGCTTAGTTTTCGAAGGTCGGAGAGCGCGAACCTGAGGTTAAGAAGATTTTAATCCAACTTTTTCTTTTGTTCCAATTCTGTGTTTTATGAAGGTGACAATGGTTAATTGTCGTTAATTCGAATATTATACGGCCGTTATAATCGACCACTTTGGTCCACATCTTATAACGATGGCAATTTTGGGGCGCATGTGAAAATTCGCGACGTCACTGTAGGTCACTAGAGACAAGCAATCATGACCATATTTGGCATCGACCTTCGCAAACTATCTGGCTTTGATGTTCCGGAGGCTGGGTGGTAAGGGCCGTGTGGAAGTGGGAGAAATTGAACAAAATTCAGAACGCGTTGTGCTGCGGTCGGCTGCCTAGTCGTTTTATCACTAAGCTGAAGGGCACGCCCAGTTATAAATTCGGTTCCGTTCGGTCGTCTAACCGATATTCGGGTACTTTCACATACGAGCACTGTTAATTGTTCACCCAGTTTAACCCAGAAGGCATTGCGTGTTTCGACCATTTCAGCGCAGTATGAATGGCTTTTGTTACTTTTATGGGGATCGTCCCTTTATAGAGGAAAAAACTAACTGAATACACCGTATTCACAAATGGCGGACACGCGGGAAAAAACTGGTGCCTAGTCATGAAAGCGAGGCGTTGGAGGATAAACAACAATTGCAAATGAAGACTTTCAGTGAACTTGCAGAGTGTTTAGCACGGATTCCAGCTAAAATAACTTTGTACGGACTTCTTTTTAAATACAGTTACGTGGAATGTCTTCTGCTTCTAATGTTTAGTAGTGATTTGCTGTTTGCAATCAAAAGGGACGCGTATATCTTCAAGGAAACAGGATGATTTTGTAGGTTTCCGAAGCATCAGAAGTTCGACAAGTGGGCGATGGCTGGATAAAAGCGGCAAACATGTTGGCCCAAACTTCACACTGAAACCGAATACGAAAGCCAGATCACTACAATTCTGTAAAACAGAAATAAAAACAGATATTGGTGGCGAGAAAAAGAGAAATAAGGGACGGATATATGGCCTACTTGTCAACGGAAGAGACCTCCGCTATTACACAAAACAGGTCAAGTCGAGAGCGGGTGAAAGATTTATTCACGAGGCTCATTCATTCATGTCAGTGTCATTTTATACATATCTATGTATCTATGTATGTCTGTATTTACAACTTCCTTTGGATCATATTAATTCCGTCGCTTTGGAGTGAATTGTTAGAGGTACGTTTTCAGAGCTTAGCAAAAATCGCATGATTTCTTTGTCATTGCGAACTACTTAAAACTAATTTTATCAAAACTAGAAGCTGTAGTGTGTGAATCTTATGGCTTGCTATATGCCTGGTCTCCTTTAGGGCGTTATCTCAGAGAGCTCTTGGTAAAAAAGTGGTATAAACCTTACATTTTACTAGGTTAAACTTTTAAGGCAATGTTTGTGTCAGGACTGAACACGGCAAGCTTCTGTTTCGAATAATTAAATTCGAGTCTGGATCCGTCAGACCATCATTTTATTTATTTATGTATTCTTCAATTCTAAAATATTATGGAACATAAAGTTAAAACTCTTAACAGCCAAAGATAAGAAATACGAAATTATTCGCTGAAATGATATGTGGCCGGCTTACCGAGTCTACCGAGTAAGTAGTTGAAATTTTGAGCGTACTCCACTCGATCGCTCCTGCATTTATACTAAAAAAATAGTTCTAATTGATGTCCTTCATCGATAAAGACCAGAGAATAACGTCCTGGCAAACAAAAACCAAANGGAAGCGATTCGTGAAAGATGATCAAAAATTGGGAACAATACAAGTGGGCTTAGTTTTCGAAGGCTGGAGAGCGCGAACCTAAGGTTAAGAAGATTTTAATCGAACTTTTTGTTTTGTTCCAATTCTGTGTTTTATAAAGGTGACAAGGGTTAATTGTCGTTAATTCGAATATCATACGGCCGTTATAATCGACCACTTTGGTCCACATCTTATAACGATGGCAATTTTGGGGCGCATGTGAAAATTCGCGTCGTCACTGTAGGTCACTAGAGACAAGCAATCATGACCATATTTGGCATCGACCTTCGCAAACTACCTGGCTTTGATTTTCCGGAGGCTGGGTGGTAAGGGCCGTCTGGAAGTGGGAGAAATTGAACAAAATTCAGAACGCGTTGTGCTGCGGTCGGCCGCCTAGTCGCTTTATCACTAAGCTGAAGGGCACGCCCAGTTATAAATTCGGTTCCGTTCGGTCGTCTAACCAATATTCGGGTACTTTCACATACGGGCACTGTTAATTGTTCACCCAGTTTAACCCAGAAGGCATTGCGTGTTTCGACCATTTCAGCGCAGTATGAATGGCTTTCGTTACTTTTATGGGGACCTTCCCTTTATAGAGGAAAAAACTAACTGAATGTAAGAGCAAAATGACGAGTTTACGCGACAACATGACGAATTTACACGCCAAATGTAGAGAGTAGAACGAGAAAAAACATTAATCTTTTTTGGTTATTTTCTATATTAACCTCTCTTGAATCTACGCTAAATTGGCCAAAATCCAAAAAAATTACTAAGAAATGTCCCGTCCGCGATATTCATTGTTCGTGGCTAAAAGATGCATCCAGAAATGACCAGGTGTCAGTTAAGTAAAACTTTTACGCGTGTAATTTACAAATTTAGCTATTGTTCTCAGACTCGATGGCCACACTTGTCAATTACACGTGTCTAGTGTGGAAGAGGTTAAATAAAAATGCCTGTTAAGCTATATTGACTTCTGCTTGCGTCATTGCATTTGAGAAGTGAGAAAAATCGATAAATCCCTTTTATTAAACGTTTGCTAAATAAATTAATTTTTCTGAGCCTTTAATTAAAATGAAAATTTGAGCCTCCATAACAGAAATTTAAACACAGTAGGTTCATTTTTAAAACTGTTGACTAGATGCAAATTTCCTTTCTGCGATTTAACTTGCACAACACTGATATTGAAAGTATATTAAATAGCCAATAGGAAACAAGCGCTATGACAGGTAGTTCGTTTGATGTCACAACACTTTCTAAATTTAGAATTTTAACCAGTTTTGCAATGTAAGAAACATATACAAGAGCTGAAGGTTGCAATGCCCGATTTATTCAGTTTTGCATTCTACTGAAGAGAAGGGAATTTAGGCTCCAGAAACCGAGAAACGGAGTTATTTGGAATGAAAATAAAAAACAAATGTTATACTAATTGGCTAATGAATAATATTATTAATCTCAGTTACATATTTATGAATTGGTCCTATATTGAATAGATCGAAGCTATAAACAATCTTTGAAAGCATATACAAGTTTTATTTGAACCGAGCAGATGTTTTAATAACCAGCCCAGTGTTACGAGAAGACGCCTGTACAGCAACCGCGGCAAATATGAACATAACAGCAAATGAATCAAGTTCTTCGACCTGCTATAGTCTCATAAATCCGGTAGTACAAAAACTTGTACCAACAGTTGCTTCTGGTTTGATACTCGTTGTTTCGCGGATTGGAAATTCTCTCATCGTAATAATTGTTTTCAAAACACCAACTTTAAAAAAAGCGATAAATTTTATGATTGTAAACATGGCCATATCGGACCTGCTGTTTCCAATATTCCTGTTTCCTCTGAACTTGGTGGAGATGCAAGCTGACTTTTGGCTTATTGGTGATTCCCTTCACCTGACCTTATGCAAGATAGGCTTTTTTCTTTTAACCGTTTCTGCGACAGTGTCGATTCAGAGCCTGATTCTAATAACAGTGGATCGATTTGGAGCTGTTGTGATGCCAATCCGAGGCTCCCCACTCATCAGTAGAAGGTTGTGTCTTTTCTTCATCGTCGTCACATGGATCGTCGCAATAGCTGCAAACTCGCCTCACTTGTTTACTTTCAAACTTGTTGAATATCCAGGGGAAATGGTAATGTGTGCGATACAAAAATCATCGGCGAATTACTACCTCCTAGCATATTTCATTGCATTCTTTTATATTCCCTTTGTTTTGTTGACCACACTTTACGCTATCATCCTGATCAAGCTTAAGCAACACGCCCATCCGGGTGAACAAACAGACAACGCTGAGGAAATGCGGTCAAGACGAAACCGAAACGTGCTTAAGATGGCCATTGTTATCGTGTTTCTGTTTTTTCTTTGCTGGATCCCCTTCAAAACTAACCAGACAATATTCAATTTTACACCGAACAGTTCTATTGGGTTTTCTTGCAATCTTTTGCCATACGATTCCTTTACCTCCTTCATGGCCGCCGCAAACTGCACTGTCAACCCGATTATCTGCCTCATTTTCAGCAGTAATTATCGCCAAGGTCTTAAAAGACTTGTTACTTTTTGTGCTTAATTTCCGTGAAGTGCTTCTTATATGGGTAAATAGAGTGAATTCGTATAACGTGTTTCTTATATGCTAAAGACATCTCATTAGATGCTAATTAGAAGAACAATTGAGAAGGCACTGAGGAAACTGAAATCACTGATAATTTATTTAAAAACAAGCCTTAAAATGACAATTCTTTTCTCCAACTTTTTGCATACCAGCGTGGAAGTGCTGGCACGAGTATTTCTCACCACAACCATAAGAAAAAACATGAATTAATTCGTGAAAGCTGCTCTGATGAAACCACGCGTATTAAACACGCAGCAAAATGCACGTAGTGCACGTATTTCATGCACCCTCATGGTCTTTGCCCAGTACAGAATATTCTTGGTTGAGATAATAGATAGATTTAGCCAGGGCTAAAAGCGAAGCTCCCGTTAAAAAATTCGTAATTTAAATCAAACAATAAACTTGTAATCCACAGATCAGGGCACATTCATGTGACTTTTGAGGCAAAGGCTAAGTGATTTTAGAGAAAAATAATTTGACAGTCCAAGAGTGAAACAAATTTTACATCGAGTTAATAATAATAATAATAATAATAATAATAATAATAATAATAATAATAATATAGCGCCGATATCAATATTGCTATTTTCATCAGCGCTTAAAAATAAAATTATTAAAAAAATAAAAATAATAATAATAATAATAATAATAATGATAATGAGTGCATAAAGTTTACATGCAAAAAGTGCATGAACCTACCAAAAAGAGTAAAACAGTTATATCAACACTAAAACTATAAAAATTACCTAGACTACTTAAATCGTAAAAAACTGCATAAAACCTACTAAAAACGAGATTAAAAAAAAAACATAAAATCACAAAAAAAGCTTTCTGTAATGAAAATGTCTTGAGTGTCTTTTTAAAAGATGCTACTGAGCGGCTACTCCTAATTGAGTAGGGCAATGAATTCCATAGTTGAGGAGCAGCAGCAGCAAAAGATCGATCTCCTAACGTTGTTAAAGTCTTGAATTTCACAGGGTTTAGTAGCAGTCCGTCACAATCGGAGCGTAACTTGTATTTGCATGCTTCTTTAAGACTAATAAGTTCCTGGAGATAAAAAGGCGCTAAGCCATTGATAGCCTTATACGTTAACAATAATATCTTAAAGTCAATTCGGAATTTAACCGGCAGCCAGTGCAGATTATACAGCAACGGTCTTACATGGCAGTATTTAGATTCCAGGAAAATTAACCTAGCGGCAGCATTTTGGACTCTCTGTAGCTTATTAAGCTGGTAAGCTGGCAGGCCATAGAGCAAGCTGTTACAATAGTCGACACGACTTGAGACAAATGCGTGAATGAGTGTCTCAGTGGACCGCCTAGAAAGATATTTCCTACTTCTTCTTATATTATACAAGTAATAAAAAGCATCGGAACAAGTGTTATTTACATGGGAATTCATTGAAAGAGTCGAGTCTAACCATGTCCCTAAGTTCTTAACTACCCCTTTTGGTCTTATTACACAGTCTCCAATTAAAATATGATCAATATTAACTTTGGCTAGTTGTTGCTTGGTACCAATCATTAGGAATTCTGTTTTATCGTCATTGAGAAGTAGTTTATCATTGGTCATCCAATTACGTATATCATCCACACAGTGCTGTATAGCAGTGACAGCCTCAAATTGCCCGGTGCTTATGTTTGGACTGAAAGACACATACAACTGCGTGTCGTCAGCGTAGCAGTGAACCGTGGGAAGGTGCACCTTGATGACATCAAACAATTTGCTTGCATAAATCGTGAAAAGCAATGGCCCGAGGCAAGAGCCCTGTGGTACTCCGTAGTCCACATTCAAACTCCGAGATAGATTTCCTTGGACCATAACACGCTGAGATCTTCCATTAAGGTAGGAACGGAACCATTCAAGTGCCGTTCCAGATATACCAAATTTTGAGTGAAGCCGACTGAGTAAAACATTGTGATCCACAGCATCAAATGCCGCACCAATATCTAATAAAACCAGTAGTGTTACATCCTGTTTGTTCATGTTCAACAAGATATCATTTTTCACTCTCAGCAACACTGTTTCTATGCTATAATTCTTCCTATAAGATGACTGATTGGCAGGGTAAAGATTGTTCATGCAAATGTGACTATGAGTTTGGTTATAGACGGCTGACTCTGTCAGCTTCGAAACAAATGGTAAGTTACTAACGGGACGAAAATTCTTGAAGAGAATGTCGAGGCCAGGTTTTTTAAGTAACGGTAAGACTAAAGCTTCCTTCCAGGCGACAGGAAATTGACCAGACTTTAAGGACATATTGATTAATCTTGTAAGTACAGGAAGTAGGACATCACATCGGCTGACCAAAGTTGAAGGCATGGGGTCAAGAACACAAGATTTTAGAGACGAATGCTGCATAAGAGACTTCACATCTTGTTCCGTTAACATCTTGAATTCAGTGAGGTGGAAGAAAGACGACTCAATGCCCTCTATGTCGGGTTTATGATAGTTTACAGCACCATGACAATCGAGGCGACTCCTAATATTCACTATTTTCCGTACAAAAAACTTCCCGAAGTCCTCGGCGAATTGAGCCCTATCAATAGTGGGAGGTAGACAGTCGGCAGATCCTCTGTTTAGTAAGCGATTACTAGCGGCAAACAGCTTCTTTTGATCCTCGCTGTTCTCCTCAATGAAATTAATGTAAAATTCCCTACGAGCCTTGTTCATCAGAGCAGTTGCTGCATTCCTCTTTACCTTGAAGGCAGCCAGGTCAGAGTCTAACCTAGTCCTTCTCCATCTCTTTTCAGCCTTTCTTCTTTCACTTTTAGCCGTCTTAATAGTCTTAATAGTCTTATTTGTACACTCAAAAATAGCAATCATGTTCGATCACAGTAGATTAGGCCTGGAAACAAATAGACCTATTCGTTTATTGTATTTGCATTGGCTGTTGCTCCGTTTGAGAGACCATGGATGATTGGATGACCCCGAAATATAATTTTAAGGAACACACGCGCCACGATAGTCCTTGGTGGCAGCCAAGTTACACGTTGTATTCCTCTGTCTAAAAGGGAGGCCAGAATAAAAAATCAGGCCGGGACTTTTCAGTAAGAAAAATCTGGTCCTATGTGATATACAGGGTATTAATTATGGGCTTTTAGTGAAAACGATAAAAACATTCCCAAAAACACCTTTTCGGCCAGCCGGACGGGTTCTCACTTTTGACAGGCACCAAAATTGCAGTGCCGATTAATAGAGTTAACATTTACGCTTCAACATGATAGAGAACTTGTTATGTTTAGGTTTTGTTTCCCTTTATTTATAAAACTGTTTATGATTTGTTATGTGTAATCTTTAAAAGCGAGCTATTTACGCCCGGCGTTTTGAGTATTCCTGCATGCGATGTTTATGTTCGACTGGAAACAACCGGTGCAGCGATAAAAATTGCGAGAGGGACTACTAACAATCAATTACATAAATATAATTTGGTGAAACATAATTTTCATTCACGAAGACAAGTGTTGAGAGTAAAGTGTCTCTTAAAATCATGAGTCAGGTAAGCATAAGCTTATTTATGTTTTAAGCCGGCTTCCCGGTGTTTGCTCTTTTTCAAGATGAACTCGAGGCAAGAAAATCGCTCAGAGCTTTCTGTTTACAGCCAAAATCATAACTTTGCATTCTTTTACATTTCCTTAGTTTTGTTGATCACACTTTACGCTATCATCCTGATCAAGCTTAAGAAACACACCCATCCGGGTGAACATTCAGCCAACGCGGAGGAACAGCGGTCAGTTGAGACGTGCTTAAGATGGCCTTTGTTACCGTTTTAGTGTTTCTTCTTTGCTGAATCCCTCCGTTTTTTAACTGGACAATATTACATTTTGAACCGAACAGTTCCATTTGGTTCTCTTGCAATTCTTTACCATACGATAACTTTAACTACTTCATGGTCGCCGCAAACTGCGCCATCAAATGGATTATGTGCCTCATTTTTAGCAGTAATTATCGCCAACATCTAGCTTAAGAGACTTTTTAGTTGCTGTGCTGCAGTGCAAGGGTAACTTTTAAAAACTGGTAGCGATCGGAAGCGATTCGTGAAAGATGATCAAAAATTGGGAACAATACAAGTGGGCTTAGTTTTCGAAGGCTGGAGAGCGCGAACCTAAGGTTAAGAAGATTTTAATCGAACTTTTTGTTTTGTTCCAATTCTGTGTTTTATAAAGGTGACAAGGGTTAATTGTCGTTAATTCGAATATCATACGGCCGTTATAATCGACCACTTTGGTCCACATCTTATAACGATGGCAATTTTGGGGCGCATGTGAAAATTCGCGTCGTCACTGTAGGTCACTAGAGACAAGCAATCATGACCATATTTGGCATCGACCTTCGCAAACTACCTGGCTTTGATTTTCCGGAGGCTGGGTGGTAAGGGCCGTCTGGAAGTGGGAGAAATTGAACAAAATTCAGAACGCGTTGTGCTGCGGTCGGCCGCCTAGTCGCTTTATCACTAAGCTGAAGGGCACGCCCAGTTATAAATTCGGTTCCGTTCGGTCGTCTAACCAATATTCGGGTACTTTCACATACGGGCACTGTTAATTGTTCACCCAGTTTAACCCAGAAGGCATTGCGTGTTTCGACCATTTCAGCGCAGTATGAATGGCTTTCGTTACTTTTATGGGGACCTTCCCTTTATAGAGGAAAAAACTAACTGAATGTAAGAGCAAAATGACGAGTTTACGCGACAACATGACGAATTTACACGCCAAATGTAGAGAGTAGAACGAGAAAAAACATTAATCTTTTTTGGTTATTTTCTATATTAACCTCTCTTGAATCTACGCTAAATTGGCCAAAATCCAAAAAAATTACTAAGAAATGTCCCGTCCGCGATATTCATTGTTCGTGGCTAAAAGATGCATCCAGAAATGACCAGGTGTCAGTTAAGTAAAACTTTTACGCGTGTAATTTACAAATTTAGCTATTGTTCTCAGACTCGATGGCCACACTTGTCAATTACACGTGTCTAGTGTGGAAGAGGTTAAATAAAAATGCCTGTTAAGCTATATTGACTTCTGCTTGCGTCATTGCATTTGAGAAGTGAGAAAAATCGATAAATCCCTTTTATTAAACGTTTGCTAAATAAATTAATTTTTCTGAGCCTTTAATTAAAATGAAAATTTGAGCCTCCATAACAGAAATTTAAACACAGTAGGTTCATTTTTAAAACTGTTGACTAGATGCAAATTTCCTTTCTGCGATTTAACTTGCACAACACTGATATTGAAAGTATATTAAATAGCCAATAGGAAACAAGCGCTATGACAGGTAGTTCGTTTGATGTCACAACACTTTCTAAATTTAGAATTTTAACCAGTTTTGCAATGTAAGAAACATATACAAGAGCTGAAGGTTGCAATGCCCGATTTATTCAGTTTTGCATTCTACTGAAGAGAAGGGAATTTAGGCTCCAGAAACCGAGAAACGGAGTTATTTGGAATGAAAATAAAAAACAAATGTTATACTAATTGGCTAATGAATAATATTATTAATCTCAGTTACATATTTATGAATTGGTCCTATATTGAATAGATCGAAGCTATAAACAATCTTCGAAAGCATATACAAGTTTTATTTGAACCGAGCAGATGTTTTAATAACCAGCCCAGTGTTAGGAGAAGACGCCTGGACAGCAACCGCGGCAAATATGAACATAACAGCAAATGAATCAAGTTCTTCGACCTGCTATAGTCTCATAAATCCGGTAGTACAAAAACTTGTACCAACAGTTGCTTCTGGTTTGATACTCGTTGTTTCGCTGATTGGAAATTCTCTCATCGTAATAATTGTTTTCAAAACACCAACTTTAAAAAAAGCGATAAATTTTATGATTGTAAACATGGCCATATCGGACCTGCTGTTTCCAATATTCCTGTTTCCTCTGAACTTGGTGGAGATGCAAGCTGACTTTTGGCTTATTGGTGATTCCCTTCATCAGACCTTATGCAAGATAGGCTTTTTTCTTTTAACCGTTTCTGCGACAGTGTCGATTCAGAGCCTGATTCTAAAAACAGTGGATCGATTTGGAGCTGTTGTGATGCCAATCCGCGGCACCCCACTCATCAGTAGAAGGTTGTGTCTTTTCTTCATCGTTGTCACATGGATCGTCGCAATAGCTGCAAACTCGCCTTACTTGTTTACTTTCAAACTTGTTGAATATCCAGGGGAAATGGTAATGTGCGGGATACAAAAATCATCGGCGAATTACTACGTCCTAG